GCCAGGGTCCTGGGTCCTGGGGTCTCCTACATCGTGCGGGTGAGTGCGCCGCCCGGACCGCGTCCTCCCCGGACCCCCAACCCCGCACGCTTGGCTCTGTGAGTCGCCGGACCCGAGGGCCTGGCGTCCGCGCTCCGTCCATCTCGTCCCCGCACCCCGGACCCCCACCTCCGGCAGCACTCTACGGCACCCCCACCCGGGAGGTGCTGGGGTCCGGGTTCCCACGGCGTCACGTGGGGAGGGGCGGGGAGGAGGCAGGTGGGAGCAGGCGCGCATGCGCAGGTGGAACAGCTCCCCTCCCTGCAGTGAGCGAGGGGGCCGAGTGAGGACGGGTGGGGGCGTCTTGCCCCTGGGACCCCCATGGCAAAGCTGCATCGTGGCCGTCAGAACCGGGCCTGCGATGGGCAGGGAGGGCCGGCACCAGCCAGACGGCGGACGCAGGGCCTTTGTTCAGGACCACGACTTTCCCTGGGAGCCCGCGGCGGGTGGGCTGCTGGCGCCTGCTCCACCCCAGGGCTCCGGATCCATTCTAGCCTGTCGTTTGTCATAAGCCTTCCAAGTAGGCTGCAAGTCTGTGACACATTAAATATCGCGCCTGGTCGGCGGTCCTGCTCTCCACACCTCACCACCGCGCCCAGAGGATGGCGGGCCACCGGCGGCCCCCATCTCTCCAGCGGGCTCTCGGCAGCGGCCTGAGTTTGCGTGTGGCTGTCTCTCTTGCCCCAGAGCAGACCCAGCCGTGCCGCCATCCTCGCACCCTAGGCCCTGTGCCCAGTAGTCACGTGCGGCAGGAATCCCGGGGAACCTTGTTTTGAAACAGGCCATCCAGATCTGGGTTAGGGTGTGTCCTTGTAAGACGGAGCTGGGCAGCGGCCCTGGAAGAGGCGCATTGCAGCCTGGGCCTAGAGCAAGCCCAGGACAGTCAGGGATGCTGCGCCCAGCGGCCAGGAGAGGCAGGAGGGGCCCTCCTTGCCGGGGAGCCCCACAGGACCTCGGTGTCAGAGTCTGGATTGGAACCGCCAGAGGTCGGCAAGAGGGCAGCTTCAGCTTTGAGCCCTGGGGCTGGGGTGCTTTGTTACAGCAGCCCGGGGGACTCTTACACCCCAGGCCAGGTGGCATGGTCTATCCCAGTGTGGCAGACACTCGCTGTCCACGTGGTCCAGGCTGGTTAGAACCACAGAGCCTCAGGCCCCACCCCAGACCTGCCCCTGGTGCCTTCTGTGGACAGGAGGGCTTGGCCCACGTGGGCTCCCCCTGGGACCTGCCCCTGGTGCCGTCTGTGGATAGGAGGGCCTGGCCCGCGTGGGCTCCCCCCGGGACCTGCCCCTGGTGCCGTCTGTGGACAGGAGGGCAGGAGGGCCTGGCCCACGCAGGCTCCCCGCGGGACTTGCCAGTCCATGAGGTCTGCCATCTTGCTTTGTGCCCCGTTCTCCTGTGTCCTGGTGGCTCCGACTGCAGGCTTGAGCGGACTCTGTGGATGACGCTGGGTTTCCTTCACTCCCCAGCCCACGAGTGGCAGACCACGTCTGGCCGCTGGTCGTGCTGTGCGGCTTGGGGGGTGCAGAACCCTTGAGACTTTGGGTGCCAGGTGTTTTTAAAATTCTTTTTTAAGAATTATCTTATTTAACTTTATTATTTATTTATTTTCATTTGACCAGAGAGAGACAGAGTGAGAGAGAGAGAGAGAAAGCAAGCTGCCAGGTCCAGGACTTGAACCATGGTCGGCCACGTGGGAGTCCAGCGCCCTTGGCTCCCACCCTGGGCAGGAGGCATGGCATGTTTGCACACGCGTGCCGTAGCCTGTGGGCAGGAGAGGGCTGAGGTCTGTGGGCTGTGGTCAGCGTGGGCCTCCCGTGGTTTTGAGCAGTGGGCGTGGGGTTTAGGGCTAGGGTGTCAGAAGGCTCTTTCCAGCAGCCACCTGGACGCAGGGCTGGGAGAGGAGGTTCTGGAGAGACAAGGAGGGCCCTGCAGCCACGGGGGCCCTGGCGATGGTGGGTGGGCTGGGGGC